AAGGGGACCAAAAAAATTAATTAGGAGCTGGATTTTTTCCAATTTCGCAAAACAGATTAGGCCTATACTTCATAGATGTTTTGTGTTATCGCAAGGTCGGGCGCTCGTCAATTTTTGGGGCATATTATAGCGAGTTACTGGTTTCATCTTAATTATAGCTGATTCATTTGAACAAAAAACAAAACAGAAAATATACATTATAATATATATACCCATGAATAGAGACAGGAGTTAATTATTTATTTTTGCAATTGAATTAGGTGGGGGTTGCCTGGTGTCAGAGGTAAAATTAGTGAGAAAATGGCCGCCCAAGTTTGGTGACTTCCAAAGCTTGATGATCTCAAGAGTCCTTTGGAAAACTGCAAATTTCCATTTTCTTTTTCTTTTTCTATTTGGAGGGGGGTGGGGGGATATTACTTTTGATCCACGTTTTTCAGTAAAATCAGCACAGAAAGCCATTTTAGATGGACATAAATGGTGTTGAACTACTAAAAAAGTTCGACAAAATTGCCTAACGCCATGAAATGTCGGTTACTTTGATTTAATTATTTTGACGAGCGCCTGAATTCACCATCACTAGGCCACACATAGATCTATTAATTATTATTATTATAGGCCTACTCCTTTTTTTTATCGAATTGTTGTGGAGGGGACAAAATCTTGACTTTCAAAAGTACTCTTTTACAACAAGTTCTTTTCAGCCACCGTTTTTTTTTCTGGTGACACTACCCTTGAAACTATTACATGTACAGAGGCCGTTCGATAGATTGTAACCACTATGACACCACATACATGTATAGCAAAAACAGTTAAGTACTTTTTGACAGGGAAAATACACAACGCTTTATTATAATAAAGACACAATAGAACAAATAACACAGTATCGCCTTTGATATAAAAATGAGTAATGTCACAACGTCAGGCTGAGCCAATGATGCTGAGCTGAGGCTCGAACTTCCAAACCCACAATTTCATGATTACGAGTCTGGTAACCTAAGCACTAGGCTTTGGACGTCATGGCGGGGCGGGGGGGGGTTGTAAATGTTACTTTTTTGTAATTGGGGAAACATTGCCGAAGTTAAAGTTTGGTCAAAAACGATCTTTCCACTTCGGAGCACTTGGACTTGGGCCATTCTGTCAGGACATGCTGGGTCGAGATGAAAGAATAATGCATCATGTATATTCCGAGAAATACTGCCGGTAATCAGAATACCAGTCATTATAGCAATGATAGTACTATCTTTGATTATAGCAAGTATCGATTTTGCCGTAGAGCGCGATTATACATGTTATACAGTGAACTGAAATCGAGTGGACCAGAATAAAATTAAGGGGAAAATTTTTCAAAATTGCGCAAAGCAGATTCTGCTCCAAATTGTTGTATTACTTCTATTTGACCTCTATTGGAAACGCTTTTTATAATGGCATATTATATCAAAAGCATACAGATGGTAGAAATTATAGAATCTAGATCTATGTGTTGTCTATGCAAAGAAATAACAAGTGTACAAATTCAAAAAGATACAAGCCAATATGAAAGCTGGTAATCACACTGAAGTACTGTAGTGTTTACTAAAACCATGGTTAGATGAGAAACCAACATAAGTCTGACATTGCTGAGAGCCTGAGCTTAGTAACCTTATAGCATGGCCAGGGCCCTTTCTTTGTCTTTGGGTGAACATTGGTCATTTAAAGTTCGAGGGGGGGGGGGGAGCCATCGTGTTTATGTATGCAGCAAAACATTGCTTTACTTTAAACATCTTTCGCAAGACGACTTGATTGTTTCTTTTATCATGTATGTTGTTTGTTTTTTTTCTTGTAGTTGTCTGTGATGTAACAATTAGTTTTAATTCGGCTCTACAAGTGCAAGCAAAAAGATGTGAGTTTTGTTCCCGCAAGGAGAAAGTAAGTATTTCTGTCTCTCAATACACGCACCAACAGGAAATGTTGCCTCCTTAACCATCTTTCTTGTGTCAGTGGGGGCGTAAATAATTATTCACATAATAAGTATGACAGTTACAATCAATCAGTTTTGTTTCGACGAATTAATCAACAGAGTATTAAACAAGATAATAATTTGAGCATAATTGTATACCTGTCCCCGGGGTTATATGCACCCCGCATAATTAAGTAAAATTTGATTTTTTTGGGGCATAATTTCTGATTATTTTCCTATATCATTCTTTGTTAAAATTAACAAGATCGCATAATTTCACATTTTTTGGCTCAGTTTGCATTATTTCAGATTTTTTTAGTGCGCATAAAACCGCGCTGACATACGATATACGTTAAGTATTATATCGCGTCAAAAGAGGAATGTGTGCAGCTCTGATGAAACCTGACATATGGTGAACATATATATTTCAAAGCAGAAATTTTGGTTATTATATAATATAAGGATCATCTTTTCGGGATTATTTTGCACTTCATGGTCGGTGAAATTGGAGACGTCAGTAAAAACTTACCGCACTTCAAAGCGCATAGGGGTCTGAAGGATAAGCTTTCAGAAAATGACTTTTAAAATATTCCATTATGAGGCAGCTTAAAAGGGGAAAAAAAAAGATGCTCAGGACTCTGACTTTTTTTCCTTTTCGCTGCTGCAATATTCAAGAACACTAGGCTTGAGAAAAAGAAAAAACAGGCATAAAAATTCACCTTTCTTTGGTATATTATTACAGTAAAGATCTCAAGTTCGATCTGCATGGTAAAACAGTTTATTAAGAATTTAGCAAAATTTGACTTCTATGCTATTCGTACTGAAATTACTAAGTCACTAAGTAAAAAAAATCTAGACAATTTTTTAAGTAAAATCCTTTTTAAATCAAAGTAGAAACACAGTCGAACCAGCAAGAACGATCCCCTGGCCAAGACAATCACCTGTACAAATGACCACTTCCTACTATAATAAGATAAAAATATAATCCTGGCTTTAGGCCTACTTTTAACGCATGAACCTCAACTACACCCCACAACTGACCCTCACATCAGACCAGCAAGGTGAGCATGATTAGATCTAGTCTTAGCTGCAGAGGACTGCCATGACGACAGGTATGGTTTTCTACTGATTGCTGGTCATGTGCTTTTCAATCATACAATAATACTGACATTTTGGTCCATCCCCACCCCTTCCCTAACTCACCCAATCCTACAGTTCCCACTTATCAGTGCCTTTATTTCTTTCAAAAGGAGCCTGTAATGCAAAAAGCAACAAGAACAAAAATTGGTTGCCTGTCATAACATCGTGAGTAACAGCGATTTATCTCTATAAGTTATAACAGTCTCTGGCACGTGGAAAAAAAAGGGGGGGGGGGTATTTACATAAAAGTAAGTGTGGATTGCACACTTGACGTACATTTCACACACCCATCCGACCATAATTATAATTAATTAGATGTTGGCATTGATTTGTTTGAAATTGATGGCGAAATGGTATAGGCTTAAGGCTACTATCAAAACTATTACGTTATTTAAGAGCTGGGACCTCCGACATTTATGTTCATCTCCAGAAGGACTATTTACTTGTTTGAATACGCGCACAAGCTGACAGTTTGCAGAAACCCCAAATGTTCCAACCCCATCCTGGGACTGCGATTATATTAGTTAGTTCCACAAGGAGCACAGCGTTAGTAGAAACAGTTTGCTCTCCATCCTAAAAAGTTAATAAATACCTCAAAATAACCGGTATCACCTGACCACAGAATTCTACACTAAGTGTAGAATTCTGTGCTCATATTATATATCTCATCACCAGAAACTGAGTGCACCCCTCTCGCTCTCCTCTCCTTTTCCTGCTGAACCCAGTTGCTGAGCCGATCGCGAATGTTTTATCTCGCAACTATAATTTCTACCAGTTCTCTCGCAGCATGTAGGCCTAGTCATGCTCTATCATCTATAATCAATGTATAACTTATCGTAGAGGGATAACAAGTCTTTATCTGGAAGATAACGACTAGCAAAAATGTGTTGTTCTTTTTTCAATCATCATCTTTCAGTGCAAGATCTGCAACAGACATCGGCGATCATGGTTCTCCATTCATTCCTTTGCTCGGATGCTCTCAAAAAAGCTACGTTTCCCTGATCTTTCCCTGTTGTTATCCATTTGTTTAGGTTCCCTAAGTATGTTGTCATGGGCCTACCCCTGCCTCGCTTGCCCTCAGTTTTGCCAGTGAGAGCTAGATGTTCAAGACACATGTCTATTTATATGTCACAAAAACTGCATTTGTCATTTCCTGATTGTTTTTAACATTGAGCGTCCCTCGTGGGTTTCATCAAACACTCCCTCATTTGATTTCTTTTCCTTTCTCGATATTCTTAGCAGTCTCTTAACTAAGAAACCACATTTCTGTTGCTTCTATTTTATTTTCACTGTCTTTAGTGATTGTCCAGCATTCACAGCCATATAGAAGGGCTGACCAAACATAGTATTTCGGGACTTTCATTTTGGTGTTCATCAAGATGTTTCTATTTTTCAGGATTGGGCTCATTTTATTGAAACTAGCCTTAGCTATTGTAATTCTCTGTTTCATTTCTGTGGAACATTTGGCATCAGATGTTATCATATATCCTAGATATTTAAACTGTTGGACTTGTTCGACCTTTTCACCTTTGCTAATGAGATTACAACTAGGCTTTGCTGCTTTTTTGGATATTACCAAGCATTCTGTTTTCTTTACACATTCAACATTCTTTTCTCAATATGAGGTCTAATAAGATGAAGAAAGGTTTGAAAAGTTTTAGGTCCTATCCCAAAGCAGGAAAAACACTTTTCCTCGTCCCTTAAAACTTCACACAGAAGATGATGATATTCTCCAAAATCACCTCTTCGTTGAAAAATTATATGTGTCCAGTACCGTTTTGGGACGCGGCGTCTTCTTTTCATTCAAAAACGGAAAGCGAGAGGAGACAAAAACATGTCAAATTCGTTTCTCTCCCATTTTTATGCCGATCAGAGGAGAGGGTCAGACTGGAAACGAAAGGGAGTGGAGAGGAACAGGAATGCACTGAGTTCATGCCTTTAATTTTTATTTAGATATTTTGTTTTGTTTAAGATAAAGTTGAAGAAGGACTATTAAGCTGATATTTATTGCATAATGAAATCCATTTTGAATTTTCATCCTTTACTTTTTACAATTTTTGAACTAAACACTACATATCCATAGCAATTTTTAAAAAACAAAATACAAGGCAAACTTATATATATCAAATGATAATAATTTCAAAAGTAACTTAAGATCAGTTGTGAAAAAAAAACAAAACAAATATCGGCACTCAAAAAACTGCCAGTATAATGATAAAAAAATCCAACAGATTGCACGATCTTATCTTGTTAAATTTTGTTTCAGCAAGTCAAATAGCCAACAATAGTTTCATTCAGGTACACATCTGTATTCTAGTCTCAGGAGCTGCTTTTTAATTTTTATCAGTGTCAAACCATACTTATAATACAGCTTCAAATTCAACAAAGAGGGACAGATTTTAAACATGAAGAACATTGAAGCAAAATCAAATGGCTTACACAAATAATCAAGAATGGACAGAACAACCAGCAAGCTTTCGACCATCACAAAAGAAATCATGTGAACCGTTTAAAAAACTTGAGTGGCACACACAGGGTATGTTCAGAATTGTCTAGAAAGGCTAACCATTTTTGTCGCTTTTAGTAAAATAAAAAAGTGTCTCAAATCAGTTCATTAAGCGGTAAAAATCTTGCTTTAAAAAAAAAAAGAAGTTGATTGTGGATTTCGTCTCAACTTGCCAGATGTGACGGTAGTCTACAGGTACATGTACTAGTTCTGACCACGCTTAGAGAATGACGTTTGTTGCGTTTACTTTTCATTTCTGTAAAAATCACATACTTAGGTGGCAAAACTTGCAGGCGCAAGCTACAGGCTGTAAGACCTAGTCATGTTTTGATCAGGGAATACTAAGTAGGCCTACTAAGCCAACGGAGATGAAAATCAATACAACGCATAATATATGTAATGATGCGATGGAATCAGGCGCTCGTCACTTTTAGGGCATATGAAGGTATCTGTATCACCTTAAAGCTTGTTCATTGATCTTGCTTTTGATGAAAAAAATACCTCTCTATTATTTGAATAGAATTCAAGATATTTACGATTTATTAAAGAGGTAGGGTTGGCCTCCTTTTAGAGGTAAAAGTATAGATATCTAGAAAATGGTTGTTAAAGTTTGGTGACTTTCTAAGCTTGCGTGTCCTCGGAAACGGAAAATTCACATTTTTTGTGCCTTTAACAACACTTTTCAGTATGATCCACACAGAATATGTTTTTAAATGGACATAAAATGTGTTGAGCCTCCCCCCCCCCCCCACAAATTAGATAAAAACTTCCAAACCAGCTAAAAAAATGCCGGTATCTTCCATTTTATTATCTGGATGAGTGCCTGGTTTCATTACATGTACAATGCTTTGCATAAAGTACAGAACTGGTGTTTTTTATTATTAAAATCTTGAAAGCTTCTTTAACAATTACATAATTTTCTCCTAAATGTTTCTTTTCTTGCATCCTGTAAAAAAAAAATAATGTAATATTAGAAGGTGTTAAAGTGCCCCCCCCCCCCCACCAAAAAAAAAAAGAAGAAAAAATGTACAAAACAATGTTTGTAAAAATTTCCCCAGCTCCCTAACATGATGAGAACCAACAAGCATTCTCTATTCAAAATGTTTAACTGAGCGCACATGAACTTTCAGTGGTCTCCTGTCATCATGATGGTAGTCAAAATTATACTGTCTGAAAGTCTTTTCGTTCTCCAAGACTCTGTTCCTGTGAGTCCACACTTGATTCTTTGGCTCACCAAACTGTGGAGAAGTATTTAACGTATATGAGTGGAGATTCAAAATTCAGTTAAAAAACCTACTCTGATTCTGAAGGAACACCTGTCAAAGACAATCACCTGAACGAATGACCACTTGTAACTCTCTCTTTAGTTTTTTCTGTCTTATTATTGAGGCCGGGAAGGATACCCTGAAAACATACAACATTCCACCCAGCCAGGCCATCAAACTTGCGAAAGACAAAAAGCTCTTTCTCCCCTCGACGCCCTAGGCGTACAATATAACGGATAAAGTAAAGTAAGAAAAGTCTAGTCCATTTATAACAGCCTCTGTTATTACAGGAACTTGGATATAACTGTGATAAATCAAATCCCCCGTTTTTTGTTTTTTCTTTATAAGTGTAAGTAAGATGTATAAACCTGGCTATAATAGGGTTCAAATTGCACAGACTCAGGTATAACAGTGATCTTGCAGTGCATGAACTTGTTTTCAATCTGTCAAATTATAAAAATTTGTCTCAACCAAGACATTTCGCCTGTTAGTATGATCACTTGCCTAAACACAAACTTTCAAACATACTAACCCCCCCCCCTCCCCCTCCCCCCAGTGTTTGGGTCATGGATCGATTCCGACTCGGTGACAGCAAAAACAGCCCAATGGAAAAGGATCTGCAGTAATCGAATATAGTAAGCTGAAGGTGCAATGGTACGGGTTGTTTCCCTTGATAACGGTGATAACAGGACCCTGTTTACGACTGCAAGCATACTGCGTGTGTGTGCATGTTTGTGTGTGTGTGTGTGTGTGTGTGTGTATGTGTGTGTGTGTGTGTGTATGTGTGTTCATGGTGAAACACCAAACTAATGTGCCAGTTGGACAATAAAGATGTATCATATCTTATCTTAAAAATCCATATTATACAGCATGTACATGGCATTGAGCTTAACAAATCTGTGTCCGATTAGACAAAGGAGAAGAGTTTTTAAAGGCAAAATGATTGATATATCTAACTCAGCACTGGGATTAAAGGATTCTATTCCAGAGCATGTGAGGGAGACTCAAACCCACTACGTTTTAGAACAAAAAAAACTCTACTTACATGTAAAAGTTGTCACCGCAGCATTCAGCGTGTATGGTAAAAATCTTCAGGATAAGGTACATGTGCAAAAGGCCACTATCGCAAGCCCTGTGATGTTCAAATCACTACCCCCCCCCCAAAAAAAAAGAAAAAAAAGAAAGAAAGAAATACTGCAAGACTTACTTATAAGAATCAGGTAGATTGTTTATTGATACAAACTGAAGCAAAAAATTTAAACAATATTTTTCAAGTTTCTCTGCCCTCCCCTTTTGAAGGGGTCATACACATATAATATATATATATATGCAAGACACAGGCAGAAAGATGGGCACAAACACACAAGTGTATAAATATAATGCCATATTAAGATCAACTGGAAGCTGAAGCTTGAATAAATGTTTTTGATTCCTCTAATGATAACAAGATATATATATATATATATATATATATATATATATATATTATATGTGAGGCCTGCTGACAAAATGAGTTACTTCTCGCAATCCGCAAATGGAGATATAGGTCAAAAATCTACACTAGGGTTAAATTGAAGATTTTGTATTGATGCCACTTTTTAAAACTATAACCTGTCTTTTATTATTTCATACTTATAAATTGTAAAAACTTCACCTATAAGCGAGATGTATTCTATTTCCATATGGCTCGAATCTGAGAAGTATCTCATGATGCTAACGGTTTATGTAGGCTACTAACCAGGTTTGATAAGTCACTTTTCAAATTTCCAATCAAAATGTCCATGCCACAGTCCGCCTGAAATAAAAAAAAACAAGAAACAAGTTAAATCTCACTTCCCATATGCCCATGAAAATAGTCTTGCTCATTTCATTTTTGTATTGCCAACATCAGCACTTATTATTGAAAAAAAAATATTAACAAATCATAGTTTTGGAATATGATTCATTCACATGTTTGTTGGCATAAACAGAAGCAGGCTACATAGATGCAACATGGGCCATGTAATGTTGAGATTAAGCAAAAGAGACAGACAGAACATAAAAATAGTAAAGAAGTCGAGTCCTCCATCCATTTGGCTTAAACATGTAGGCCTATATGTATTGCACTCTCATTGGAATCATACGCTAATATATGTACAAGTTTTACAGTGAAAATTATGTTATAATGTCCCCAAATGGCTCGGAATATTATGAGTGAACCAAAGGTTTTGAAACAGAAAATCAGTGAAACTTTGTGTCCCCTACAAGTACAGGATCTCAAAGGTAAGTTAGTTGCAAATCATTCATCCTACACTACAACTGATATTTCGGTGTAAAGCCTAATTTGCAAATTTTAAAAATGATAAAAATACAGCAACCACCCCAAAAGTGTCCCTCCTCTTTTTTCATTCAAACCGCCATATAATTTTTAATAAATATCTATTTTGTTTTTTCATCTATACCATGTAAAAGTCTGGTCTGCTGGAAAGAGCCAGTGGGCACAGGACAAACCATCCGGACACATTAACAACAACAAAAAGTGACAGAAACACAAGTAAAAACATGTTTTTTGGGAATCAAGTGAGACAGAGGAGCTTCTGAACCAGCAGGACCAATGAAAGTGAAAGACAGTGGACAAAGCTGGGAGAAAAGTCATGGGAAATGATATGCAGGAAAATGGAAAGTTTGGAATGTTGTCAAGAAGCTAGCCAAAAATAGGAGATAACGGAAAGTGTTTGTCCTTGGTCTATCTATACCCTGGTATAGGGTGAGATAGATGATGATGATGATGATGATGATGATGATGATGATGATGATGATGATGATGAAGATGATGATGATGATGATGATGATGATGCCCTGATGATGATACCCTATCACAGTTCATTTCATATTTAGTAGGGATTAATCTAAAATTTTGATACAATGGAGTCCACTTAAAACGAGTCCTGAAACAACGAGAAGTCTGTTATAAAGACATCATTCTAAAACCCTGTTTTTTTCCCTTCTTTATCTTTGTAAATAAAATACTGCTATAGCGCAATCAGACAAACACGCGAGTCGGTTATAGCGGAATATTGCTGCTGCTGTGCTCCCCGCGGAGGCCAATTATACATAATGTAAAACCTCGCCAGTTGAGAAACTTGTTGGTTATCAAGCGAAACAAAGAATGGGAGAGCCCATGTCTGCCAACGATGAAGGCCGGAGCGAATGAGTGGGGAGGGTGTGGCATGCGCAGACACACCGTTGTGAAGCCGAACGCATTGCCTGATAGTGATAGGCCAGCCTAGTCTAGATTATCTAGGCCTAGATACCTATCATGCCTCTCACTTCTCCAATGCAGGGATGAAGAAGTCACAGTGCTGTGATGGATCATGGAGCGAATGTGTGACGTGCGCAAGCAGACGCGGGAACGCACCACAGGGTGTGGTGGTGTGGGGGAAAACACAGCGGGCGAGATAGCCTAGAGAACTTTCGTTCTGATAGCCAACGCCGAGCTGTCAACATCGTTAACGATAGAGAAAGAAACCTGATTTAATTTTTGATCAAGTAAGACCTAAAGGTCATGTTGAACAAAGCCATCATCGGAGGAGATAACGAAAAGAAATAAACAGAACGCCAAACTCATAGATTATGGCTACTTTATTATTTCCTTTGAATTTATTACTGGATCACTTACAACGAGAATCCTGCTATAACAGACATTTCATACCGGTCCCCTCCCTCTCGTTATAACAGGATTCCACTGTAGAACAATTGGCTTAAACAGGCATACTCTTTGCCCACTTTAAGCAGTATTCTCACACATGTTAAGAAATAGAACCATTGATGATGTGATTGTGCACTCAACATAGTTGACAAATCTGATATTCATAAATAACAAATTCCTTTTGATGTCTGGATAAACAGAGAATTATGGGATATGCATCAGGTCAAGCTAAGAAGTTACCATCGCAGTTACCTGCATAGCCTACCTCTAGAACACAACATCTCATTTTAAAATTATAGCTGAGATCACTTAAATCGAAATCTGCTGGACTGGACTACCAGATTTTCTTTGGTTTAATTGTATTTTTGGTTTTAAAGAGACTGCTCAAATAAAATGCACACTAAATTACTACTAAAGAAAAAGTAATTCATCATCAAAACCCAAGAATTATAATATATACTGAGTTATGTTCCTTCGTTCTTGGGCTTGACTTGGGCTATTCAGATTAGTCCTGTATCACACTCTACAATTTTAGTTATTTTCTTTTTGTTTGTTTCTTTAACTCATCTACCTCTTTCAGTAACTGCAATTAGAGTTGCAGGGAGTAAAGGAGGACTAGGTCAGCCTCAGTACACAGCACTGTACTATGCTCTGCACGAGAGAAGTTAGAACGCATCCTAGTACCATTGTACACAGTCTGTAGGCCTATTGATAAGAGTGAAAAAGAGAGGTAAACAAATATTGAAGCCTCTCTCTGGCCCTCGTGGACACTATGTTCTTTTGTCTCTTTCAACTGTTTCGCTATTTCGAAGTGAGTTACTGGAGGAGTCGCTTATGAAGAAATGACTTACACCTCAAAATTTTTTTGAGTTTAGAAATAGGACCATTTCAGCAAAAAGATCTAGGTCGTTTTCTTTACAAAGACAAAGAAGAAAAAAACCCCCAGGGAATCTGTTTACTTTTGGATTACCACTATTTTCCGTTTAATCTAAGTGACCTCAACGTACTGGTATAGGCTCATATTTTGACGGAGCAAAATGAAAACACGTAGAAAAAACAGAAAATTAAATATACAGGAAGAAAAGTCCACAACTTGAATTGTTAGTCATTCTCAAAATTATAGCTTACAACTACAGGGCAAAAATAAACCTGATGAATAGTGACTGTTCTATGCCTTGCCATCTGTAGGTTGAACTCAGTACGTATGAATACTTCAGCCTCCGCGTCTTTTGAAGGATCCATTTTTCTGAGGAACAAAAATGAGTGAGTTGAAAATTAATAAAGTTAATTTCATCTAGAGAGATAGTAGGTTAGGCAAAAAACATATATGCCCAGTCTACCCAAGATGGCTTCTAACAATTTAATATTGTAGCTGAGTAAATCATTTTCACAAATTCATCCATAGAATAAGCATAGTAGGGGTCACTTTTCTAGTTACGTTATGCCTGTTCTAGTTTCAAAGTTGTAATGCATTCTATTGCAACCACATTGGAGCAATACGTCTTGTGAAATTTTATATCAGGAAGCTCCCATAAACATAAGGATGGTTGCACCTTTCTAGCTAAAAAACTAAAATAGTTTTTCTAGAAAAAAAGGCCTAAAAATCAGTACCATTTTGTTACAAGAATACGTTTGTACTTTTTCAACACTCCTGTACACCTATAAAAACAGACAAGATGGCTTGAAACTAAAGATTCGGGGAGATCTAGTGTTAAACTTCTTTGCCCATCCCCCAAAAAGGTGCTGAAATGTTATTTTGCTGCGGTGAGACTAGACTAAAAATCACGTTAGAAACATTACAAGCATCGTCCATTTTGCTATGGTCCTTACACGCTAGTAGCACATTTTGAATTGAGTTTTGCCAAATAGCTTTCTCCCACATTCATATCTCTGACTTTAAGTGTTTTGGCACGCATTAACCATTTGTCAATATTTCAGCCCGATTTTCGGCGTTTTCGTGTACTTGTAACACCATACGTGCGTCGTCCAGATGTAATGTTCCTGCACTTCTGTTTCTGCACTAACTTCATCATAGACGGAGTTTCCGATCACTATTTTTAGAAACTGCTTTTGCTATTAGCTTTTGTTTGCCTGCTTTGGCGTCATTTGCCAAATTGAGGGGCTCTGTACAGGTTGTTTCAGTGCGTCGTCTGCTGTTGTTAGCCTTGTTATGTTCCAAACATAATGTAATGTTGCTAACACGAGGTTAACGTTTTTTCTCTTTTTATTATGATTTCATCAAGTTATGAAACTTTTAAGATGCATAGAATGCTTAAATACACTGCAATTTACAGTCGGCTCTTAGTGCAAGTGCAAAGAAAACGAGAACTTAGGCTTAGTACCGAAGAATGTGAATTTGGACGACAACATCGATCTTGTCCCATGTAATCTATCTGACAATGGTTCTAATTCAAAAACTGATATACTTAAAATGCAGCACCATTTAAATTCACAAAATGTTATAGAAAACCCCCACATTACTGGTCCCCACTCGTGTTCAACCAAAGCGTTCTCGGAGTTATGAGAAGTAATCTGATCTTTGATAGGAAGGTTGGTTACACGCGAAAGTAAATCTGTTACCTTCCTAACACTTTGGAATTTTTGGGATTAATTTTGACATTTCATTATGATGCTTTTCTTTATTTCATTTTATTCATCTTTACTGTGATTTAATTGGTTGAGCTATCTCAATGTCCCCTGCAGGAAGTTTCTTTTGCTTTCGGTGATGTTCCTAACAGCTCCTTTCCCCTTAACTTTCAAATACCCTGCTCCAAGAGTTATCTGCGATATCATTATGTTTTAAGTTGATACTCAGTGTTAGCACAAGTTATGCTCAAATTTCTTTCAGACATTTCAGGCTAAGCACATTTTCTGTTTAAATTGTTTGTCCCGTAACTATCCTAACAAAAAAATCAGTTCTTCCGCTTTAATAATAATATGCATTAGTTTGTTTCTTTTTCAGGTCATATTTATAATGTTGTTAGTTGCCCTTTGTTTAAATGTATGTTTTGCATCTATAACTATGAGATAAATCGCCTCTTTTAGAGTTTTTCCATTTCATTTGCTTGTCCGGTAATAGTCCTAACAGGAATTAAATGCTCCCTTTTCATAATATTCTATCTCAAATTACTTGCTCTTTTTTTTAACCATCATACAGTTTTAAGTTTGCCCTGACTGATAATAAATACTGTGTTCGAATCCTCTTCTTCTGACAGGAGCCAGGAAAACTTTTTTTGTCTGCTTTGGTTAGCATTACTTGTCCAGTAACGTTCCTAACATACATGGGTCGTAAAATGCACATTTTCAAATCAATTGTTGTACTTTTTTTCTAACACTAGGAAGGGATTTTACAATAAAACCGAATCCCACGAAATGCAACATTTGTTTGTTAGTTTTTTTGGAAGTTATTATCAACTATTTAGGACTTGTAATGCTCCTAAAATTTAGGGAAAGTTGCTTATTTTACAAAGTATACAAAAAAACAACAAAAGCTGAAGATCTATACTTTTAAGATATTATCAATAGATACGTCAACAACAACCCAAGGGAAGGTGCTCTGTTAATTTTTTTTTTCACTCAGCTCAACTTGCTTTATTTTCGAAGATGGTGAAAACTGTTGCCCCTAGGTCTTGTTGCACCCAGGGCAGTTTACCATAACTTATTTTCTTTATTGCTCTGACTCTTTAAAATAAAACGTACCGTTTTAAAGGGTTTTTAATTAATATTTTTAGTTCTGATCTGCAATCTCTCCGTTTTCATAGTGGCCATCCTGAGACAGCATATTTTTGGTAAGCTGCTTGCGTGTGTGCTTAGGCAGAGTCATTTGATATTTTGGTTGATATGATCATATCCATTTGTAAAATAATACAGGATTTGAAGTTTAAAAGTGTGTATAATATATATATGTTGACTTATAATCCACTTCCTTTTTCATTTCCCCTTTTATTGAAGCTGGTTGGAATATTTTTTTAAATGTTTGTTGAAAAACTTGGTTTGTGAGATTTTTAGGCAAGTTGTTCAAGGGGAGACAACAACAACAACAAAAAAGGATTAAGTTTTCAATGCTATTGTTTTCTTCAAGATGAGTCATTGATTATTTGCAACTGATTGTGAAAAGCATTTGCAGTACAAAAGACAGCGCAGCAGAAAGTTAGTGGTTGCACCATGGGCATATGGTACAAGCACCCAAGCCCTATCCAATATATGCAACCAGGCTGTTGCGGGTTGGGCAAGGTGATTTGTTTTACGGACCAAGGTGCAAAAACCTTTTGGGTCAAGCCAGAATAATTCTATCTAACCTAGAGTCACGTTAGTTACAATTAGAATTTATATTTCTAGTTTGTAATTTTGTATAATAAGGAAAACACCCCTCCCTCAAAAAAATCATACCATTGCTAGTTTTGTGGAGCAATACCATTAGCCTCTTACTTGCAGACGTAAATGTAGTTTAAATAATCATAAAGATCAGTCTAGCAGGCACAAAGTGAAAAAAAACAAAAAAACGCACATACTGAATTTTTTCTTTTATATTACATTCTTTGTATTCAAAATACACACATGGAGTACATAGTGAAGAATTCGTAGAGCAAACACAAAAATGGCATCAGCAAGGGAAAATATAATTGCTCTTCTATGCAGCTTCCTCAGGACCTAAATTTTGCAGAACACTGAAAGCTGTCCGCGTTGGCCTAATCTGTATCTCTGTTGAACAGGAAGTGTGCTGACACACATGCTGAATGTACACACCTTCACGCGACCGCATGCAGATTTCTAACACATAAATATAACTTTCAGTTTTCAGCCCTAATTTTATTTCAATTTTTTTCAGCTCTATTATTATTATAAGCCCACGCTGGGATCTTTTAATTCAAAAGCAAATGATATAATTTCTTTACCTGATAATTTCTTCTGTATCTTTAAACATCTGTTGTATTCAATTCACAAAGGTAGCAGATAGGCAGACTGTTGCACCAAGGGCAAACATTGGTTGCAAAAAGGGCATATGTGTTAGCACACAGGGCGAAAAAGATAAATAGTATCCCCTCTAAATCTTTATTTGTTTGCCATTTATGATGTATAGGCACTGCATGTCAGGCTCACTTTTGAACCATAGGAACCAACTGCTACTTTTAGAAAGTTCCCTTTGGCAACTAATTTCAAGAGGTTATAATGAGCACGACCGTAGGCCTATACCTCGCAGTTTACAGAAACGGGCGCTCTACCTTATGTCTTTTTTACTATCCGAAAATCAATAGATAAAGAAAGACTTTTACATTTTGTTTTATCTAAACCTAAATCAAGAACCATCATATCATACAAGTATCATCAATATTATGTGTGTAGCTTGGTACGTGAATTCAGAGCTAAATACTGCCCCTCAAAATACTGGTAATAATCGAAGACACCAATATTTTTCTGCTCATAGGGCACAACACCTTTTATGTCTCTTTAAAAACATATATTTCTTTGTGGATTCTATTGAAAAAACATTGATCACAGCAGGTTCAAAAGACGTAAATTTGTAGTTTCAAAGGACATCTCAAGCTTTGGAAATCATCAAAATCACTGTGTATGTGACACACAAACTAACTTTTCCTTATTTTTAAATTTTTAGGCAGGCTGACAAGAGTCCTGTAATTATTTTCCATGGCAATTCAAATAATAATGGAAATGTGCGGTTAGTTGGTTTAGTTCGAGAAAGTAATCAAGTACCTATTTGACACTGAAGACGAGAACAAAAGGGCAGGCCGAGGCATGATCTCGAGCCACGGACAGTGGAAGACAGAACTCGTGAGCATGAGTTGCAGTCGAGGTGAAAAAGATTTGTCACCAGTCAGTGCAAGTTGGATAGCCACACGAGGTGGGTGTGTATAATTAAACTACAAAATGATATTATAATATATATACTTATTATCCCTTTTTACTTCTTTGTCTTGGTTGGGGCATAAGTAGATCTACGTACTACGTCTAGGCTATTATTGTAGTTACTGACACCACACTATAAGTTCTGTAAGTACAAAACAAAATATTAAATAGATAATAATTTATACATCACAATCATTATTATTATGTAATAGATAGATCTATATATAATATTATCATTTGCAGAAAACTACATGAGAGAAACACATCCTGAAACTGGGTTAAGAAGGTAACGTCTAAATTAATTCCAGATAGAATCTAGATCTACGACATGTGACACATTTATATTACATAATTAAATCATTATTAGTTTCAAGAAAGATTAATTTGGAGTCGAGCCAAAAAGGAAAAAAGACGAAAGAGATGACGACCCGACAAAACCTTGCGGTTGCCAATGGTCGTGATGTGTAAACTCTAAATTTTAAAATTATTGTACTTCGATGCTTTGTTCCTGGTTGTTGGTAACGCACAAAGTTCTGAAATATTATAAGGCTAGGGTAAGCTTGGGGGAAGTACACCGGAAGTTAGGCCTATTAATAGAATACTGGGACCGCCGAGAGAATCTTTGGTGAATGGGCGAATACTTACTTGTGTCACTTGAATATTTCCGCAACTTAACGAACAAGACAAACAGTAGACAAGTAAACGCGCAATAGAACAATAAAATCAACTTGAAATCGCAATTGACACGTCAGATAAACCACGACAATACGAACCTTATGATTTTCATTGGTCTACAAAGTTTATCGTATTTGAAATAGGCAGTGCATTTTACCTATCATGGGACAACAACATGAATGATCTGCTTGCTCGTGGTAAAAGTAAAGATCGACAACATAATATCAGAGACCTAGCAATGGCTATATAAATAAGCATTTTGAAGCTTAGAGAGGAACTTTGATAATCAGTTTGAGTTAAAGGAGGTTAACTCTGATGTCAGCATACCGCCCGCTATACGTGCTCAATTACTTACAATAGGCCTATCTCTTATATGTCCGAATATCAAATTAATTATTGGGCACCTTCAAAGGTCCTAAATGATGCCGTGGAGAGAGCCGAAAATACAGAGCTAGTTTTAAGAAGTTTTTACCTTTGAGAGACCCTGCCTTTGCTATCACCCTCCAAAACGCCCAAAACAAATGCCTAATTACTGATCATCCAAAAGTAGTCGGGTTGCCACTTCTCGTCAATACCTGTAAGATCTATATCGATCCTATGGGAAATTCCGATCTCCCAAATATTTTCCAGGCATGTAGAATTCCAGGTAAAGAAAACACGAATTCAAATAAGAAGTAAGAAGCGTGTTGTTGTCAATTTAATTGTTTCACAGACGTTCAAATTATTCCACAGAGTAGAATTCTGTGAAATTATTCTCAAACTTTCTGACTTCACATTCTTGAATTGTAGATCTAGACTACTGGGTTGAAAGGTATTTAAGACAACTAGAATCTAATCTAGAGAAAATCTAGATCTGGATTCTAGATCTGGATCTAATGAGACCTGTGTACTTAACAGGCTTGAGTCGATTGGGCCAAACCTAGATCTAGATCTAGATCTAGATCTAGATTTAGATCTAAGTACGGCTAGCCACTTTGAGATTCTAGTCTCTAGATCTAGATCTAGACTAGATCTAGATCTAGATCTAATCTAGATCTAGATATCTAGATTTAGACAAAGATAGTACAGACTCTTTCTTTGATCTAGATCTAGATAGATCTAGATACTAGATTAACTAGATATCGAGATTAGATCTACTGATTCAGCCTCTCAGGTCAGGGTCAGGTTCATCAGCTCATTGTGAATCTGTAAAATTGAATGTCACATCATTGAATGTGGTCTTATAAACCCAGTGTTATAAATATATTAGAATCTAGATCTAATCTAGATCTAGATCTAGAATAGACTAGACACTAGATCTCTAGTACACTTGTAGTTATAGGCTCAGTGCTGGACTTCTGTGTGCCTTAGTCTAGAGTAGAGATCAGTATTGAAACTGGATTTAATGTGTATAGGCTTTATATATTATATTATATATATCTAGATCTAGATCTAAATATAATGGAAGTGCCTATTTGCAACGCCGCGTAGAGATTAGCGCCAGTGCTAGATAAAACGCCGCGTTGCGATTAGGCCACCTCTATTCTCACCCGGAGTGAGAATAGTGCAGGCGAGTCTTGTGGCTATTCTCACCCGGTGCGCGTTCACCGAATTTTGCGTTCACCCTAAACCACAGAATTCTACACTGTGATAACAGAAAAATTGTAGAATTCTGTGCCGTGAACAAACGTTCCATTACAATTGTAGCTTACTAAAAGCGTACAATTTTGTCTGTGGGCAGTGGAGAGAGAGAGAGAAAGAGAGAGAGGAGTAGCGCGAGAATTTCCGGGCAAAACAAAATGGCGACCCGCGTAGTTCGGCTCGATTCGAAAAGTTAAATAGCCGTAGCATCTTTGCAGACAACCAAATTTATTTACTTTTGTGTTTTAACATGATTTTTTAACTTTGTTTTGGTCAATTTGATCGTCCACACCGATAGACAGTATTCAGAAAGAGACGGAGAGAGAGAGAAGAGGGGAGGAGTTGATCTTGCGAGAACTTCCGGGCGGGTGAGAATAGCCACTTTCTTGCGATTAACGCCAGCCAGTGCTAAATAAAATGCTGTGTGTTAGCCTAGGCTATATAATGAAGCTTAATCTACCTTTCGTCAATGACGGAAGTTCTGATGGCCGAAGTGACAGTGTGTCTGTGTCTGAAGCCACACCACTATATATTTAGGCCGTCGTCGAGTCCGAATACCATTTTTTCATATTCGGAGTCCGAATAAAAAAAAATCTTATTCGGACTCGAGTCCGAATACGAAAAAATGTTATTCGGACTCGGGTCCGCAAAAAAGGAAGTGTCTTCGTTCTATAGAAGATCTAACGTTCAGTGCTTCCCATTTTCCGCCATTTTTTAGTTTCCCCCACACCTTTTCTGCTGATCCGATGCCCGCCGCCTCATTGATACCCCACCCCCCATGTTTTTCACTTTCTTTGTTGGAGAAAAAGGTAAAATTGAAGATTAACAGATCACATGGCACGTGCATATTATGAGCTGTGTAAAAAAATAAGACAGATTCGTTCAAATACACAAGCCTGTGTCATCTCGATTGTTTACCAAGAAAAACTTGTGTTGCTGTGTAGAGCTGAGCATACGGCAACTTTTGATTCCATAGACCAGCGCACAATTCGTTACACGCGTAGATCTACGTCAAGACTAGCTTATTATTGTAATAATGGTCAGTTGCCGGGGGGAAAAAGACTGACGCGTTATGCGACGTTCAACGCCTGGACCGATAGTGCCCCCCCACCCCCCCTCCCCGACACGCACACAGCCACACGTGTGCAGGCCGCCTATCCGGCCCCAACACACGCTAACAAGCCATCTTTAATTGCTTCTGATGATCTCTTGACAAATAAACATTTATTAAAAGCGCTATAACTTTTCAGGCCGGCCTCAAATTCATCATAAGATAAAGACTCGGCTCCTGCACAAAACGCCATTTTGCCCAAAGTGATCCCGGTCTCTTCCCAGCCTGAGGCGAGTCACGAGTGAGGCAGGACAGGAAGCTGGAGTCATGAGTCACAGGAAGTCGGAAGTGATGTCATGCTGGACAAGAATCAGAGTCCGAATAACATTTTTTCATATTCGGACTCGAGTCCGAATAGTCACTTCGATATATTTATGAGCGCTTGGGTTCGATACCGGTCCTGCAAGTTTTTTGGGTTTTTTCTTCCTCTTCTCGACTGACCAACAAATTTTTCCCATAATTATAACTTGTTGCTTTGTAGTTGTTTTTTTTATCATGTAGTGGTGAAGCATGCACATTCTGGCTTTGTCCCCAAGAGGAGCCCTGTACAAAGTAGGCCTTAGTATAGCCTATAGCCTACTTTTCCTTTTACCAACTTAGGCCTTGTTAAATTAAAGTTCAATAATGGCTTTCCTTTGTCTGTGAGTCTAATTATTTTATTTTTTTTTAATTTTTGGCTCAGGAGAAGGAAAAAAACCCTTCCTGGACCGGGATTCGATGCCGCGCTTGGAAGCACTGAACATTAGACTTAGGCCTAGCGAACATAGGCAGCTTTTATACGTTCTCTTGGCCTAGATGATATTTTTAGGTAGGCTAAATCTAGAATCTCTATTTAATGACGACACTGTGGACAGAAAATACTAATTATCGAGTTGCACCGTCTGCCGTCTTGTTATTGAACATTATCCAAGCGTCTTTCGACTTACTTGCTCAAACTCGAAACTCAAATGAATGTGAATGAGAGATGAACAAGACTACGTCTAGTCTCCTTTTGCGCAAACAATGTCAGAAAAAATTGTAGATCTAATCTAGATCTAGTTAGATCTACCCAATATTGATCGGATAAGACGTCATAAAAAAAAGAGTCAAATCCCAGGAGGTTTATCAAAAAAACTGAGAAAGCTTCCACAATTCAGGCAGAACTACTATATTATTATATTATCATTTAGAAACGATGGCTACTACATTCGTAACGTTCCCCGCATCGAAGCTAGTGTGGTAGCCCCAGCTGCTGGATATCATAGAAATATAATATGAAATCATCATGAAGAAAGACTTCTCAGTGTAGTTCATGTATTATAAACGGTAGATGATGATTTTATTTGTAAACACAGATTACCAGGGACAATGAATGATACAGGCCTACAACATGACATGAAATAATATCGTGTCCATGACTCTTTTTGTATTTTTTCGTCTGTGTGTAGCTTTGCCCTAGGCGAGATTCTATGTCCACACGGGCGTCTGTGTGCCTCTCTCTGTCTTCCTCTCCGCGCGTGTGAGTGTGTGTCTCCATCTCTTGAGTTCTTTGTGCTTCTCTTAACACACTCGAATCCACTGTTGCGGTGTAGACTGTGTTCGAACCTCGAAGGGTCATCCTGAAAATATTGACTGTCTTGTCTTGTAAATGAAACGTGCCTGAAGGCGAAGTTAACGTGCTTAAAGGCGTGTAATTTATATAGCAAACATTCGGTAAGAGCCGTTTAGTGAAACGTGCTTTATGCCGGACTGTAGCTAGTTTGTCCGGGGGTGGTCGACGAGCTTTGGCATGTATGGGTGGACCAGTGGTGGGGATGAAATGAGAAACCCCGTGCTTCACTTCGGAGGCCGAAAAGGTTGGCTTGAGGATTTCAGGAAACTCTGTTAAAAAATATCTTCCTAAATTTGTTGCTTTCTGGGTTCACTATGGCTGCCTGAGAATATGACTGATAGTACAAGGGTTTACTTTGAAAGATTAAGCCTCTATCTGTTTCTGACCACGAATGTCTACCAGTAGGTTGTGGCTGCGAAGAAAGTCGGCACCAAGTAGGGCCCGCTTTACATCGGCGATAATAAGCCTGGCGTCAAAATCATTGTTTTGGAAACGAATGGTGGTGTTGAGTGCTCCATATGTATTGATTGTGCTACCATTTGCGGCTAAAAGTGGAGAGCCTGAAGTGTTCGCCTGTTTGTCCCACCATTCATGTTGCTGGAAGAACCGAAACCTGGGCTTCTGTATCGATGATGTAATAACGACGGCCAGAGACAGAGTCCATGTTAATCAGTTGAGCTTTTTGTGGGCTAACAGAAGGCTCTGAAGCCAGACTGAATTCTGCTGACCCACCTACTCATTTCCCTGAACCGCAGCTGGGTTTTTTTAGGCTTTGTAAGTGCATGGCGCAATGCATTTTTTGGCGTTTGATCCGAATCTATGGCGGTAAAAACATAGACCTGTAGAGTGGGAAGGTCTGGGTTTGCTAGCAGCTGTTGTGCGATCGACAGCCAGTAGCGTCACGGGTGGAGCAACGGCAAGGAATAATTTGTTGGTTTCTTGTGCTGACGTGCGGCTGTCGAGATTGTCGAATGTTCACAGGGGGGCTCTTACGTATTCAGGCAACTGTTGTAAGTATAAGTGTCTGAAAAGGAAGCACGGTTCGTGCGCTCCCAGTAGGCCTAACATGGAGTCCATTAACTCTGGCGGCTTACGGTCTCCTAACCCCTGTAGTTTAAAGAGCGCTGATGCTCTTTCCGTATCAGACAAACAATATGCCGATTATAACAAAAATGTTTTCAGCGTGCTATATTTGTTGAATTTAATATAGAAAAAATGCCCGAGTACCTGTGCTGTTGTCGAGGGCGGCGACAACATGGTAGTATTTAGTTTCGTCTAGGGTGATATTCCACAGAGCGAATTGCGCTTCAGTTTACGCAAACCAAGCTTTCGGCCCGGCTGTCCAAAATGTTAGTAGTTTAATCGAAACTGCACTTACTTGATGATCTTGGTCACACATTTTGAAGGGATGGTAAGGGCTGTGATGAAAATGCAAGTCCGCTCAAATATGATTCAATATATAATCCAAGACAGAATAAACAAAGTTGAAATTGCGTTTCAACTTGTCGGGGTCACCAATGTAGGTAGATCTAGGTCTTTACTCACCGAAATTTTCTACTCGACTGGCTGTGTAGGACAGTTGGGTGAGGCGGTGTTTTCATCTGAGCACTTCGCAAGCCCATGCGAAGTCGTTGTCATGTCAGCTGCTGTGTTGTGAGTTAATTGAGTGTTCGGAGAGTCACTACATTTGGGAATATTTTTTTTTAGTGATTAATTTGTAACTGAAAATTTATGTCTTTTCTTCCTAAGCCCCATTCTTTGGGGTAGAAGTGTTAACGTTGATTTTCAAAGACTATCCCAAGCCAATATTTTCTGTAACACTCCAGGCATACTCTTACAATTTTTGCCCGTGAACTTAATCTTTACTTACCCACAAAGTGTAGGTAGGTATTGTTTGGCCCTTCAACCTATTCTTATTATTTGTGTGATTGGCTGCATTATCATCAGTGTGTGAAAATTGTAATGTTTGAAGCACAAAATCTGAACTTTCCTGTTGGATGAACGAATCTCTCTGAAAACCACTCACTCGATCAAAATAATAATGTACAAGAACTCACCTGTGAGGCCAATCTTAATGAAATCTGTCGGCTCTCTAGCTTGAAAATGCTATATAATGTATTATTCATTTTGTTTTTCTTTCTCTTATTTAGAAGAATGAGTGCACCAGAGAATCCAAGGCCTGAGGCGGACGACTTCATCCGTTGCATGTTCCACTTGGAGGTGGCAGCAACTAGAACGACTATCATACAACTGGTTAGCTTGTTTTGCCCACAGTTTGTGGTGTGCCATCTCAGAGAGATAGGTTACAATTTCTAATTTAGTTTGGCCTTCACATCAACATGTTTCAAGCAAGTAAAGTACAGTGCAGCCTCTCTATAATGACATCGTCGGGACCAGAAAAAAATATCATTATAGAGAGTTGTCATTTTAAAGAGGCTACCAAAAATATTACTATTACTAATGAAATAAGGAATAAATATTGGGACCCGAGGATATCGTTATAATATCGAAGGTCATTAAAGAGAGGCTGCAATGTATGCAATTATATAATTTTGAGCAAAAGAGTGATGCACTTAAAAATGTTTGTAATCCCACTGAGGCTGTTATGTATTTTTTAGGGTGCTTTTTGGGCATTACTATTACTTGTCTACTAGATCTATCCTTCTGTTTTTCCTGTTTTATCTGTGTGCCTGTTTTGTTTAGTGTCAACGCTATTATACTATATGACTAATATAATTTCATCAATACCTGGAATACCTGGACGTGTCACTTCTGACTCGGAGGTTGATGTGTAATGACCCTCCATCCTTCACGGTCGCGAGCTTGCTGCCATTGCACATTTTGCTATACCCATGACAGTACATGTTTTAATGTTATATCCATCCATGTTACTCTTTGTCTACCTCAGGCTCTCCTGTCTCACATCCTTCCTTCTAGCACCTCTTTCACAATGGTCTGGTGTCATTTTAAGTGACCAAAGTCTTGTCTTCATTTAGTTTTGTTAAGAAAGGTTTGTCTTGTGTGGAGAATCTGACTCATCTCTTTGTTGTCTTTTTTACTTTCAAGCTAATTCTGACCAGTCCTCACATTTTTTTCTTTTTTTGTTGTTGTTAAATTCCATATCTCAGCGCCATATAAGGATATAGGTGGAAGTTGTAGCTTTCCCCCGTTTTGTTCCTTAATCCTGTCCGTACACCTAGGGTCATTTTGTACCCCAAAGGTTGTATTTTTCACATTTTAGAATACTTCTAATCTGATCTTTTTTAAACTTTCAGTATTCCTCAAAAAATCATTTTGACAGACTGCTATGCAAAGCAAATCGCAATTGGTAATGTATCTTTTTGACCAGTGGTCACATTTCAAAACGACCTTTTTTGCACCCGGTGGAGTCACTTTGTGCCCCCACTCTCCAAAGAGGAAAAAAATGCAGTTATTCTTATCCGTATAGTAGCGGGGTAACAGACGACCCAACACATCGTTTGCATGGAGTACTTGTCATCGCTGCATCCAAATTTTCCTACATCTGGGTTTCTGTTGGGTATTGCTCGCACTCTTGCAGTTGAGCTGGAAACATCTGAAGGCCTAGTCATCCTTTATTATTTTATACATGTATTGAGACTGATTGTTGTTGGCAAGTCTGACACACACTGCATCACTTAGCTGTTGTATTAAGTATGGATACTTTTATCAAACTTAGATCTACTAGTGGAAAGGATGAATCTATATATAAATTATGTATATCAGTCCTATGGCGCTGGTCTGGGAATCCATTCATGTGGATTCGAACCTAGCTGGCATCAAATTTTGTGTGTGAGAGAAGGAGAGAGAGAGAGAGAGAGAAAAATAAATGGTTTCTTTTTCTATGGAGCGAGAAAATATCTTTGCCCAGTATCGAGTACCGGTAGTTGATACAATAAAAGAGAATGATGATGACTCTGGATACAATGGACAGGAGAATGATGTGGCTAATGAGTTGGAGGACAATACTATAGGAAATGAGGGAGAAGATACTGACATGGATGAAGTGAATGAGGAAGAGGAAGCTGAAAGCAATAAATACTACGGCTGGAAATGCTACAGCCTGTGGACATGAGCTCACTTGTGCCAGACTTAGAAACTATGCCACATGCAACTGAGGAAACTACACTCTGTCAGAAAGGGAAACTGGAATACGTCTACACTGAAGGCAAAGATGATACGCTGTGATACAGGGTTGCTCCAACACAAGTGTGCCCACCTTGATGCAACCTCTTACTAGACAGATGACTAACCAAAGAAATTTTCAGACAGTAATTGCTGCTTACAAACATTTCATTTCTGCCAAGACAATGGAAAGAATCCTGGGCCCGAACATAATCATTGGTAAATAAAGCACTTTTTCGTCCAGTTTAGCGGGTGGTCAAGCTCTGTGACCTTGTCGGCCTCAGCTAGAGTCCTTAGTGCAAGATTTGTTTCGAACACAATTTCTTCTTCGTCTTCCAGGTGCTGTCCTTCAATTCTTTGAATTTGGGAAGGAGATAAAAGTTGCATGGGGTACGTCTCTGGAATAGCGGGGATGTTCAAGGATTTCCCACTGCCAGGAGTCCAGGAGATGGGTGACCTTTGAGCAGTGTGCACAGGTGTGTTGTCATGATGGACGACAACACCTTGCTCAAACAAACCCGGCCGCTTTCTTCTGGCTGCTGGTCTCTGCTTTGTTTGAAGAATTATCTTGTTGTATTACCTAATAATTAACATTGCATGTTGTGCCAACGGGAACCAGCCAGTTCAAAATCAGACCTTTGGGGTAGCAGCCGTGATCCTGGATTTCTCCATTCTGCTGCTTGTCTTTTCAGTTCTGGATCCCGCGAATACACCCATAGTGTTGATTTTACAGAACAGGAAAAGTTACACCTGGGACAGACCCCATACTGTAGTATTAGGTGGATAGGGTTGATTGGGTGATGAGCGTGTAGTGTTGTGCATGATAAAAATAACGGCTGATGAAGGAGAAAACCACACCAAAGTACATGTACCCAAGGTCTAGTCAAGAAAGTTCACAAATAACCAGCAGAGTCGAGACAAATTAGGTTTCTGTGATAATTAAATCTGATTTAATTAATGAATTGAGAGAGGGAGCTAATTTAAGACCCAACTTTCTGTGAAATATGAAGGCTTGGGCAACATTAGTGTTAGTGCCAGTTGAACCCTTGATGCATAGATATCTACAAAACTAGTTGCCGCCATCTTGGATCGTAAAGCGTTTCAATTCCAGCCGTGGGTTTGAATACTTAATACTTGGGGTCTTTGTTACCCCACAGCGTACGGATCGGATAAATGAGTAAATTTCCTCTTTGGAAAGTGGGGGCACAGATGTACCATAGTAAAACACAATGTACTGATAGGTTTAAAGGTACAGTTAATTGCCTGGATGTAAATGGTTTGTGCATTTGGCTGAATCTTGTTTTTGCATTTGCTGTTCTTAGTCTTTATTTCTTTTTCACTTCTGCCATTGTATGTGTTTGTTGCCCCAAGATATTTGAATTGTTTGATTCTCTCCCATCTATGGTATGTCTGTTGTTGTGCCAGTAGATCTTGAATCTTTGGTTTTGTTTTTTTGGCCTACCTTATTGCTGTTCTCTTTCACTACTTTCAGTTTTAAAAAGATTTTCCCTCTTGTTTGCAAGCAGACTGTTCTACTTGTCTACTTACACTCTGACAAACAGGCAGGAACTAATTTTATACAATCTCGCTCAGGTAACACAAACTCACAAATCTGAAAATTACGGATAGCACATAATTTCCCTTTCCCTGACTAATATCTCTTTAATATTTTATTATTTATAGTTAACCTGAGTTATGGATGTTTCGAACACATTTGTCAATCCCCAATGTGTTTGAGTTATCTATGCCTGACTGTACATTCCACAATTGCTTTAGGCTTGCAAGAGTGGGTGGTTGGCGGGTGCTCTGGTGTGGTTTGCTCCTTCTTTCCTCTAAACAGCTATCGTCCTTATCTCTCCTCCTTCTTTTTTACATTTGTTGTTACTCTCTTGTAACGCCTAATCTTCGGCACTTATATGACCTTATTGTGTTGCAAGTGCCGTAAAACGCTTTACTAAAACTAAAAGGCTTGCAAGTTAATTCGTACTAAGATGTTACTGCCTGAAATTTTATGTATGTTTTCTGTACAATATTCCGATCGGTTAAGATTGTGCTACATGTTTTAATGATCCTATAATTGCTCGGCAATCTGAAGATTGCGCTGCATGTTTTAATGATCATATAATTACGCGTTTTAAAAAGTCACTGCCGTCTTTATTCTTTTACTCACATCAAGGAACATTCACATATATTTTCAAGAGTGTAAAAATATGAAAATTTAAATTTAAATTAACGTATAAAACTTAAGAGCTCACAAGAATGATACAATGCCAGGTATCAAAAAGTTCGCAAAGTACATTTAATTTATTTCATACTTTTTAAATAATTTGTTTTTTAAAAATTCAATTCTTATTTATTCATATATTCTTTTGTTCACATCAAGAAACATTCATATATTTTCAAAAGTGTAAAAATATGAAAATTAAAATTAATACCGTATTAGTATTAAAATATGAAACTGAAGAGCTCACAAAAATGATACAATTCTATACGGTCGTTAAAACGCGCAGCGCAATCTTAAGATTGCAGAGATTGCCACGCAACCTTAAGATTTCCATGATTTTATACGATCGTTAGAATGCTCAACGCAGATTGCGCCAATTGGTAAATTGGGCGGAACATATCTAATTTATGTGGACCTATATCCCACTTCGACCACCTAAAACTTCCGAACCACTTATCTTTCGAATTTGACAAAATTAATGGTGGTTTTGATTCATAAAAAGGGGGCTCAGTTTCATTGAGCCTGAAGTCACTGTTGTCTAATTTACAGTTTTTCGTTAGTTTCATTTAGATCTAATCTTGGGAAAGTCCGTCTTCTAAGATGCCATTGTAAACAAGTGAGGTTTCCGTTCACTTGCCTTGCGCACTTATTCCACACCTTTGAAAGTGGGTGGTTGGCGGGTGCTCTGGTGTGGTTTGCTTCTTCTTTCCTATGAAACATCTATCGTCCTTATCTCCCCTTCTTCTTTTTTATGTTTGTTACTCCCTTGTATCCCCTCTAATCTTCTGGTTCTCATATGACCTTATGTAGTTGCGAGCGGCATAAAACCTCTTACTAACTAAACTAACACCTTTGAAATTATGGAGTGTACAACCACGAAAGGGGAATAGAGAATCAATCTATACATCTATTATATATTTGGCAACTTGGAAACACATGTGTCACTATTCTCTCAAGATTTATTGCTCCATTCCTGTAGAGTGTAAATATAGTAGGCCAACAATGGCTTTCAATTGATGTTTATGCACCGATCATTCTTTCTCGAAAGGGGGCCCAGCTAATTTATAATAATTTATAATTTATACTGCAATGCTTTCTACCTTGGCTTGTGGGTTAAAATATTCTGCTTTTTATTTCAGGCTGACTGCAGCATGAGAGTGTCAATAGGACATTTGAAAGAAGACTTAGCAAGATATGTAAGTGTGGGAATGCTTTATGCTATTCTTGTCATATTATATTCTTTTAAAGATTTTGAGCGTTACAAAGACAGTCTTGATTCTTTTCGCTGGGAGAAATTTGTCTTGGTCGTTTACAATAGCAGTAGATGTTACAAAGCTTAGGTGCACTCACGCTTACGCACAACAAGACAGGACATAAGTAAATACATGTCTCACGTGCTGAAACACCCACTTCGTAAAACTCTCTCTTTCTCTCTCTCTCTCTCTCTCTCTCTCTCTCTCTCTCTCTCTCTCTCTCTCACTCTCTCTCTCTCTCTCACTCTCTCTCTCTCTCTCTCTCCCAATGACTGTATTGCCTGCTGGTGAAGAATCCAGCACGGAAAACTATGTGGATCTTTATTCAATTGCCTGTAAGAACTTTGGTCTCATACGTAGTAAGCACAGCAAAGACAGTTCTCTTCCAGCCTGTCCCTGGTGATACCCAGACGCTCCCTCCTGAAATCAAAGTACAGTCAAAATTCAAGGGGGACACCCATTGACGAGGAGAAAGACTTGTCGTAGGTGGCTGTTTAGAGCAGTGCCATTATGATATTCTGTCCCCGCGGTTTTATGCAAAAAAAATCTGAAATTATGCAAACTGAGCCCAAAAATATGAAATTATGTGATTCTGTTAATTTTCAAAAAGAATGATAAAGGAAAATAATAAGAAATTATGCAAAAAAAAAAAAATCAAATTTTGCTAAAATATGCGGGGTGCATAAAACTATGCACAAGAGGAGAAACTGTGGGAAGTGGTTGTTTTTTTACATGTGGTTGTCTTGGACTGGTGGGCATTAGAGCAGGTTCGCCTGTATATGATGCTCGCTTTAAAATGCTATAGGGTTTTCATTCATGTGATGAACGTAATGTATAGGTTCTAAATGGCTAATGAAAATAATACATGTAACAACAACAGTGTGCGCTGACGATACGTTTTGCTGCTTTGGATTTTTTCCTTTGATTTTTTAATCCACCTCTGCTAGGATCATCCATTTTTCCTCGACCAAAAAGCCTTTCAACTTTTTATGCTCCGCCATGGTTCACTCTCTACTGCAATTTCATCTAAACCAAACTTTGCTGAACCCGGCAAGCTGTTCCGTAGTGTGTAAATCGCTGTTAAAGAGGAAGAGGTGTGACACATCATAAAATGTGTACACAATCAACTTAAAGCCTAATGTGAGTCGTGTGGGTGCAATGGGCCATCAATGTTGACTGTTGTTTTGCTTCACCAGATGCTTTTTTTCTGCTTTTTTTGTCCTTTTGTTTTAGGGTTATGTTGATGGTTGGACCACTGTCATAGCCGAGCATGTCTGTCTGAATGCCTGTTTTAAAAGATGTTTTAATTTTTTTATCATACTTCATAAGAGAGTGGACTTTTGGCTTTAAGCATGCCACAGCTGAAATCCTGTTATAACCGAGATTGTTTTAAGTGGGGCCCACTTTGTATATATGTATAGATAGATAGAGTATATTCGTGTACAGTCAAACCTCTTTGTACTGCCAGCCCCGCTTACCATTGGTTTTGCCAATGTGCGAAAAGAAACGTCTATATTATATTTAACATAGAATTTATGCAGTTGCGAGCGCCGTAAAACCCTATACTACTAACTAACTAACAGAGAATTTATGCCTTTACTTAACACTCCACCATCGGTCCCAACTGTCTGAGGTGTAAGGAGTAAATTTGCCCCGCCGACTGTACCGTCAGTGATCTGACCGCCAGAGGTACACACTGCACATGGGACACAACAACCATTGGTTGGATACTTGATAATCTTTCTCCCACTAGAAATATACAGAGAAAGACAGAGAGAAGATTCTCAGCTCTGAATACATGTACAGGTATGTAATGTATATCACCAACAAAAAGACACTTTTCAAACACAGATCGCACAGCAGAATTATGTTCCTTGACGTTAGGCAGTCGGGGATATACAACAGAGGAACCCGGTTAAACCGCCAGCCCCGCTTTTCTGCCAACTTTATGCTCTTCCCAAGGGTGGCAGTATAACGAGGTTTGACTGAACAAGAGAAAAATTCGGGACCTTAAAATCTGTTTTGTGCGCATTTTTTGCCTCATGTGTGCTCACTAGCCTCAATGCCCTTTCTTGACTGTTTGAGTGAAACAAATTGACCTCGCATTTTAAGCCCCATTTAATGTTAATATAATTTTTATTTATTTATTTTTAAAATTTATTATATTTTTATTTTATTTTAAAAGATTATTATTATCATTAAAATAATTAATTTATTGAAATCGCAACTGGAATATTTTCTAGTACCCTGAGCTGTAATACCCTTTGGGTGTCTAATTGTGGAATTCCCACCCATTAATTAATTAATTATAAATAAATACAAATTATTATTGTTTGAATAATTTGACAATATGTTTTAGTCAGACCAACAGGATACATATCTATGCCAAAATGTCTCCTCAGTTTGGTGATCCAGCAGGACAAGTGTGGAGTGTGGAGGACAGAGTCTTCGAGGATGACCGGACTTTCGGAAGTTATTGTGTTGACCCATCACATGATGAGCTGCGACCACTGAGAATAGTTGTGCGCATTAGTCAGCCATCTGAATAAGAACTCGGATAGATGAACTTTGTTGATTGGCAGCTATAACTCTGTGTGTATTGTGAAAAATTGAGATGAGGAATTTTTTTTTTTTCACCACTTACGTCATGCTTACGGTATTATGAGGAGACGCATATTTGGGTTCACGCTGAAGAGGTTGAGTTGATGCTAAAATGATGCAATTTTTTTCTTCACTTTACTGAAAAATATGTCCAGAATACCTTGAGCTGAGTCCCGAAACCACATCATGAGCAGAAAACAAGGGGTTGAACAATGAAATAGTCTGAACAAGCTAAGGATTTTCAATTTTCTGAATAATGGCTTGAAATTATTCCTTTGAGACATTAAATCCCTGTTAGCCCCACTGCATCACCAACTTCTTGCTCATCCTAAGGCAGGCGGTAGAACGGAGTTTGACTGTATTCACAGAAAGTTCAGTAAGTTATACTCGGAGCTGGTTGTAACGGAGTTTGTACATGTACTTCATTACAATTTTTGGTACTTTTACTGTACATTTTTGAGAACCAGTACTTTTTCTCTTCTCTGATACTTTTTGTAAAAGTACTTTTGAGTATTTTTAAAGTACATTTTGAGTACTTTTGAAGCTTAATGAAAGAATAAGTGCCGGCATTTCTGATCATAATTTACGGAACAAACACTTGGGCAGGCACAGCCGATCAACCAAGAGTTAAAAGTTGAGATCAAAGAAAGGCCTGTCGCGTTAAAGATCAGCCACTCTCGTGAATGTGATCACAAGCATTGTAAAACTCCATGAAACGGTACAGTGTTTACCCCAGACGGGATCTCTCCGAGGTGTGAACAGACCGATGTGGTTTTTTTCCCAAACATCGCACTCACATCTGAGCTCGCCACCTAAACTTTCATCACTCACTGGGTGGGTAGGGCCAACACGTTCGCTCCAGGCAGGATCACATCGAACTGTGAACTCTTCCCTGACCATTGAAGACAGTTTTTCTCTGTTCCCGAATTTGCGAAACAGCCTGAATAGCTCTTGCTATGTCTTCTGTCCATCTGTCTTTCTTTCCGATCTGTCGACCGAAGGTCTGTTCCAGCAAAAAACTAGACCCTAAATCCCCGCTACGCGAGGCACCCTGTTGACCGTGGGGTGCGACCCGTACGACTGGAGAAGGGGACCCTGGTGGCTGAGGTGTGGCTTCCCTCACCAACACGCCACTTTGGCCCTGGATTCGGTCTAGACGGGCGGGTGCAGCGGCCTACTGCGCTCAATCAGTTGCGACTGGTTCATAGAACTGGTTTTTGGCCAATCTTGGTCAGAAGGCAAAATTTCTTGCCGTCTGATTGGGAGTATACCTCCAGGGTAGCCCTGACACCAGCTATGGACTTCCGAGCAGTGTCCCCTTGTTGGACTCGATGGCGAGTGAGGAGCCCTGGAGATGAATAAAAAACAAAATATACATGGATTCAATCAAAAACATCTCTCCTACCCCAATTCCCAACAAGTCCCAGACAGGAGAAGCTGGTGCAACTCCTGGCCTGGGCAAGAGAAAGAAGGGCATTTCAGGCGAAGATCCCTGTATGTGTTCTGTCTCACCAAAGTCTGAACACATCCAAGGGTGTCATCAAAAGCCGAGAGCTCTGCGGCTGTATGGAAGAAGAGATAGTTCAGGAGGTCGATGGAATTGTCCATGCTCGTCGTTTCAAAATACGGCAGGATGGCAAGGAAATCTGTACCAACACGTGGATTCTTACCTTCAACACACCCACACCACCAACAAAATTAGACTTCGCATACCTAGAACTTGAAGTAAGACCATATATACCGAGACCGATGCGCTGTTTCAACTGTCAGCGCTTCGGACACACACAGCTGCGCTGTCGTCGTGGTGCAGCGTGTCCTCACTGCAGCAAGGAAGGGCACTCTGCAGATCCCTGGTGTCCAAATTGTCGACAGGGGGGGGTCGCACTGCATCTTCGACGGAGTGTCCGAAGTGGTGTCAGGAGAAAGCCATCCTCACACATAGGGCCCAGCACGGCGGAACGTTCGCTCAAGCAAGAGCAACACTGTACCCAAAAGGATCGACGCCGAAGAATACAGCAAAAACATATTCAGAAGTTCTGAAGACAGTCCCAGGGTCGGTAAACCCAACCCGAAAAGTCCTTCAGACACGTAGAAGGCAGAACCCCTGCAAAAAACAACACTCCAGTCTGGAGACAGAGGAGGACATGGAGTCCACTTCCTCCCCTCCTACTTCTCCCACTCTCCATCCGCCATTTCCCACACCCCCTCTTCATCACCACCCTCTCAGCCATCTTCTTCATCCTCACCCCCTCATCATCGTCACCCCCCCCTCATCATCCTCACCCTCATCATTCTCATCATCACCCCCATCATCATCTTCACCCACAACGTCCTCACAATCATCATCCTCACTCAAATCACCACACCCTACACCCTCATTGCTTCAACCTCCATCTCCCTCACCTCGCCCACATCAACCTCCATCCCATCATCCTACATCCAATAAAGCCCCTCCACCCACTCCCCGCACCCGCTCCCCCTCCTCTACCCGCATCCAGGACCCCGGTCCTCCTCCCCCTCCACACTCTCCTTCAAAAAAAAGCTGCGGTCCACTGTGACCGCAGCAAAACAAAACAAAGACAACGGTCACCAACGACCAAAAAGAAATGTACCGAACCCGTGCCCTCAAAATAAATAAATATGGCAGTTCTTCTGTGGAACATTCGCAAACCAGGCAGAACTCTCTTATCTTTTGACCTCACACACCCCAAATGTAATCTGTCTACAAGAAACTAAATTGCCATCACCCACATTCACATTAAAAAATTATCAAACTTACAACCAAATATACACCGACAACCAAATCACCTCTGGGGGCAACTCCATTTTTAATAAATAACCGAACACTACACAGACAAATACAACTTAACACAACACTTCAGGCAGTTGCGGTCAGGGTCACCCTACACCGTCCTATAACTATCTGTTCAATATACATCCCTCCAAAGTATCCTCTATCTTTAAGAGAACTAGTAACCCCAGAGAACAGCTCCCTCAACCCTTCATCATGTTGGGAGATTTTAATGCCCATAGCTCTCTTTGGGGAAATGAACCAACTGATACTAAAGGTAAAATCATAGAAAATTTCTTAACAAAAACCAATACTAGTATTTTTAACGACAATTCCCCAACATTTCAAATTTCAAATAACCTAAACTTTTCATCCATAGATTTCACCCTATGTGATCCAGAACTAATTCCAGACTTTCAGTGGTCGGTCCTGGACGACCCACACGGATCGGACCACTTCCCCATCAACCTAATTCCAGACATTCCACACCAAACTCCTATCCCGGACCGTTTCAATCTTAAAAGAACGGATTGGGATGGGTTTCACATGGAATGTCTGGAGAAACTCAATCCATCTCAAACACAAACACAAACTTTTGATCGATTTCATGAAACCCTTCTCGAAATCGTTCAAAAACACATTATATCACATACCAAAATTATCCACCAGACCCCGAAAAAATAAATGTTGGTTCACTGAAGACTGCCAAAAAGCTGTTGCGGCCAAAAAATCAGCTCTCAGGAAGTTTGTCAACTCTAAAACATACGAAGACCTCACTAATTTCAAAATTGCGCGAGCCCAAGCTCGCAGAATAATCAGAACGGCCAAAAAAACATCTTTTCGAAATTATGTCTCTAAAATAAACAACACACCAATGCACAAAGTCTGGAAGATGATAAAGAAATTAAAAGGTACTAAAAAAGACACAATCAAACACATCCTAAAACCAAATAACTCCTTCGTAGAGACCGAAAAAAAAGTAGCTGACTGTATAGCATCAACTCTCTCCGGAAATTCCTCTACCCAAAATTACAACCCTGAATTCAAAAAAGTAAAAATGTCTTCTGAAAAGACAACTGTTGATTTTTCCTCTTCAAATGAAGAAAACTATAATTGCAGCTTTTCTCTTAATGAACTCTTGGCTTCGTCGGGTAAGATCCCGTACATGTATTTCCCTTGCTCCCGAGTCCTGGGATCTTAGACGGAGACTGCTGTAGTAGAGAATCTTTGGTTACACTACACTTACTAGTTTCTAGGAATCTACATGTATTTTGGTTTGCCGTGGGCGCCGTGGACTTCACAGTGTGACCAAAATCTGTCTTACCACTATTATAATCCATTGAAACTGAAACTGAGTTCTCAATGTATACCTAACAATTTTTTAAGCTACTTAAATTTCTTAACTTTTTTTTTAGCGGCTTTTGCTTAAGGCTACATTGATTCCTTGAGGATTTGTTAATGAAAAATTCAATGCACCTTTCCATTTCTTTGCTGGCCATTTTCATCTATTTTATGTTTTTTTAAAAGCAACTTTGTCTCTACATTTTCCAATTTGGATACATGTACTTTTCCTGTAGAAGTTTCCGACCTCCTGGACTGACTTACATTTGATCTCATTGTCTTGTTCAAATGAGTTCTATTCATAATATCACTTACTTACTAGTTGCGCCTGTTTTTTTGGGGGGTTTTTTCAATCTATTTCACTGACCATATCCACTTACGTTCAGTGCGTATTATACTCAAATGCTTTGTATACCTTTTTTCATTTTTAGTAATAAATGGCCTAATTTGTCGAATATACTGGATATGCTATTCAATATGATGTTTTGCTTTAGCACTAAAGTGTTTCAGCATATTAGCAGAAAAATACTCAAAATGTACTGTCGAGTACTTTATTAAAAAGTACTTGTACTCAAGTACATTTTACAGGAAAGTACTTTTTGTGTACTTAAGTACATATTTTAAATTGTACTTAAATTTGTACTTAAGTACCTTTTTAAAAGTACTTTAACAGCTCTGGTTATACTATGCAAGGTAAGAAGTGAGTACGTTAACGTGCAAAGTTTCATGTTGTGGGCCTGAGAACCTAATCTCTGACCCTGTGTAGGAACCAAATGAGAGTGAAGGCTGAAAGAGTCCATCAGAATATTCTTTCAGAAATTTTTTTTATTCACAGGAAGATAAGCTGTAGACTTATCAATTATTAATCCATTATTAAGGCCGGCATGTATAATACTAACTACTAAGTAGTTCTAAAAATATTCTTAAAAAACTACAGTCGAACCTGTGTAAAACGGCCACCCATTTTAAACTCCTGACATTTTAATAGTTTTGTAAAATATATAACCGTTAAATCATGTTCTATCAGAATATCATTGGATTACTACATGTATCAAAATACTGATTATGTTTCTCACTTAACCCTCCAAGTGTCACAAAAAAATCTTTAAGCTGACAAGACGCTTTTTTTCATTTTTGGTTCCATTTTTTTTAAATTTGCTAAATCGAAAGCCATCAGTTACCCTACATGTGTGAAAAAATCAAAGTGAAACTGATTAGTTTTTTAATAAATTAGAATTCGAATTTCGGAAGAAAGTCTTTTTTAAGTGGTTACGCTGACAAAAAGGTTCTTTATCTCGAAACTGCTGTGAATGAAAAAAAGACGTTTTGTCAGCTTA